CCCCCCAACCTCACCTCCTTCTGCCTGAGACACCCCCCAGCGTCACCGGGGAAGGCCCACACTGGGAGGAGGGTGCTGCTTGGGCCGGCTACTGGCCTGGGCTTCCTCTCCCAGTGCTTTGCTTCAGGATCCTGCACACCCTGTAATGCGGTTTGGAGGTACCCAGAGTTACAGGGTGACACAACTTTGCAAAGGTTAAAGAGCAGGAGCTGGAAAAGAAGATGCCCTACAGCTTGCGGAGCCCACGGAGACACGACTGCCCCATCCCCCCACCACCGTGTACCTCTTCCCCCCCCAGTCCCCCAGCTCTGGTGCTGTCACCCCGTTCCGTCCCTGCGGGAGGAAGGACCAGGGTGGCCAAGAGGCAGAACCAAAGCTGCCCCAGTCCCAGTGGGTGCATTTTGAGCCTGGCAAGCGGTGCCGCAGCTGGGCAGGTATTTATCTCTTCTCATCTCACCTCCAATCGCAGTGTTATCAGGTTCAGCTCCTCTGCTTCTGATCAACAGCTCTGCTTAGAAAGGCGACGAGTGAAATCCAACCGTTTAAAACAATTTGATATAAGCCGCCCAGGAAAGTGATGGAGAAGCCCCCTCCCACCCTGCATACATCCTCCACCCCAATCCCCCTGCAAGCACCCAGAGCAGCTCCCAGGGCCGCTCTGGGGCTGGGGGCAGCCACAGCTCGGGGTCCCTGTCCCCACAGGCGCACCTGGCAGCCCCAGTGATGCTGGTCCATCCCGATGCCATTTTGCATCGTGCCACCCCAGCGCTGCTGCAGATTCAGCCGCTGCTCCCGGGAACAGCCCCTTCCCCAGAGCCACCCACCTCTCCCACCCGCATCGCCCCCAAAAACACAGGCGAGACACCAGCTTTAGCAAAAATGTTTAATCTCTCCTTGATGCGTGTGTTTATTTACAAGTACTAAATCTGAAGAACATTAAAATAGGAAATAGCAGGATATTTACACAATCAAAGGGCGTTTGACCAGCCACGCTGGCCTGTTGCTTCAAGTCTGAAACAATCACAGAAAGGTAATCAGGACTCCGGAATTTATTTATTTTTTTTCCCTGTTTAATTTTTTAAAACTATTAAAATTCTCTGCCTTTCACCGGGTCCGCATTAGGTTTCCCCCTGCTTTCTTAAAGGACAGCTCGTTGTGCGCTTTGGTCGGGACCGGGTGAGCCTGGGGGGGACCCTGCTACCTGTCCCCCTGCTCCCCGTCCCGAGGCTGGGGCCAGCCCCGGGGGTGGCACAGGGCTCTGTCCAGAGGGGGACACTGGGGCCAGGCACAGGGGACACTTCCAGGCTGGACTGCACTTTTATTTTGAACCCCAAACTGAAGAGAAAAGGCAATGTGAGCTGTGGGGGCAGGGAGGGACCCACTTGCTGCAGCAGTCAGGGAGCAGCCCATGGGGTCCAGCTGCCTCCGATGGCAGGGGGCAGAGAGGCGGGAGCTCCCAAAACACAGGGCAGGGCAGGGGATGCTTCTCCATCTCACCCCATTTTGGGGCACAGGCGATACCACCAGTAAGAGGGGTCCTGTGAATGCTTCCCAGCCTCTTCCCGCTTCTCCTCGCTCCCAGGCAGGGTTGGACAGGGACTGCCAGCCCAGCTCTGCCCTGCACCAGGCTGGGGCGAGGGGGGGAAGGACGGGCTGCCTGGCACGATTAAGGACGCTGGGCATCACACGGAAGGCAAAGGTAGCACCAAGAAGTGCCAGAGACTGCGGGCAGCATTGCAGTGCCCACCCTGCTGACCACCACCCTCCCCATTAAGAGGAGGCAAGGGGACCCCGGAGGGGTGGGGAGGTGCTGGGGGGATCCTTTGGTGGAGCAAACCGCAGACACCCCAAAGCTCCCCAGGAGAAAGCCAACGGGAACCCATCCCCAGGACCACATGACAGGCTTCCAGCATCGTCATGGGGCGGGAAGAGCCAGGCCACAGCACAAGGGGGACACAGCGAGAGGACCCCAGAGAGCCCAGCCACACCACGGCACTGCCAGCCTGCCTGGCATAACACCCCCCACCCCGGGAACCCCTCTGCCGCCCAAATCCAACCCAGGCCCCACCATGGCCAAGAAACTCACCTGTCCCTCCAGCCCAACCAAGGGGGTGCCCACAGCATCGCTGCAGGGAAAGCAACAGGCTAATAAACCCTTGCTCTTAACGGTGCTTCCAGCCCTCGTTCGCCAATGAGGACATTTTCAGGTGGATGATCTTAGAAACAACTCTCCATCCTCTCCAACCAGCAACGGGGAGGGTCCCACCATCCCATCTCAATCACCACAAAAACTACGTGCTTGGCTCCCTCAATGGCCACCGAAGCTCCCCGAGATGCCCTTACCGCTGCAACAGGCAGGGCCCACACTGCTTTCCATAGAGACTTCAAAGCAACCGCTCCCCTTCCACTGGATCGCAACGACCACCGCACGGCCACCGTCCTCCTGGCGATCTCCAGGACCTCTGCCAATGCCGCCCAGCCGGCAGCGGTGCAAGGAAGCAGCTTTGGGCCAACCCTGCAGCAAAGGGAGCCACGGGCACCCCTCCACCCCATGGCAGCAGCAGGGAGTTCTGCAAAGGACCCCCCGGCAGGATTTTGTCCCACCGGAGCACCCAAGGAGAGGCTGGCAGCCAGCGGTGGCCCCAGCGCGGGGCGGGCGGGCACGCAGCTGTCCTTTAAGGCTCTCCGAGCACCACATTTGAGATGTGAACCTCTGAAGTCTTTCTTTTTGCTTTGTTTTTGTTTTTTGTTTTTTTCTTTTGGACAAGAAAGTGACAAATTAATTTAAAAAAAAATAGATAACAGGTCTAAACAAATCTCTAATATTCAACACTTGCAGTTTTTTTGTTTTATGTTTTTTTTTTCTTCTGTTTCTTAAAAAGATCAACTCAGACTAAAATCTAGCACAGTCATGCAACAGCCCACGGCTCTCAGAAATCCAGCGACAGCTCGGGGTTCGTAGGTTTGGGAAACAATTATTACTTCTTTTTCAAACAGTTTTGCTGTTGTGGTTGGGTTTTTTTGTTGGTGTGTTTTTTGTTTTTTTTTTTTAATCAGCATCTTTTCCTTTCCCTCCTTATTAAAACAAAACAAAACCAAACAAAATTACAACGTAATGAGAGATGTGCAGGCTTCAAACGATTGTTCTGCATGGTGAGAAAGGCTTGGAAATTTCTTCCAGACCATTTGGTATCTTTTTTTTTTTTTGTAGTTGTTGTTTGTTTTGTTTTAACTGGCTGTGTAAATTCATTTCATATTTATATTGGTTCGATTCTCCTTCAGTTAACTATACAGCACCCCACTGGGGCACGAGAATTAGATTGTAACCACATATATATATATACACACTTTTTTTTTTTTTTAATTAAAAACTTCATTATTTCTCCCTCTCCCCCCCTTAACTTGCGATTTAAGGGAATGGACAGAAATCAGCTGAGCTTCTTTCCACTTGGATTTCGACAGCCACCCGCTCCTGGCAGAGTTTGGCCCCATCTGCCGTGGCCCGGGCAGCGACGGGAGCTCTTGGTACAGCAGAGGAAGGGGGTTGCTAATTTTTTTGGAAGTTTTTGGTCACCTGCTGCCATTCGGGGCAGCATTCGGCTCCTTTTCATCTCTGGAAAGCACAAACCCACGAGGATCTGACATTTCGAAGGGGGCAGCCGAGGGAGAGACCTCAGGTTTCCGGCAAATCCCCCAGCAGGGCAGAGGCAGTGGAGGGGAGACGGGGTGACAGCAAAGGAGAGAAAGGGGAAGAAAGAAGGAAAAGACAGAAAGAAAAGTCAGTCTTGGGCGGGAAGTCCTGCACATGTTTGGGCTTCCTGGCGGAGGAGCAGGCGAGAGCCCCGTGGCGGCCGAACATCCCGGTCCCTCCGTGGGCTGGGCACCCAGCGGGGTTTGCCGGGGGGGGGGGGATCCCCGTCAGGAGACGCGGAGGGACTGCCTCCCCTTTCCCTGGGGATCTGGTCCCTTCCCCTGCAGCAGCACAAGATGATGATGGGGGGAATAAAACAAAGTAAAGGGGCTTCGTTAAGGCTGCTCCAGTGCCAGGGGATCTGCCAAAAAACCCCAGGCTGGCTCTCCACGACCCCTCCTGACAGCCCCCAAGCCCCGCAGTCATCCTGCACCCCGCATCGTCCCAGGACAGGCAGGGGTGTGCAGCACTGCCCAGACCTCCTCGCAGCCGCCGGACGGGGAAAACGAGGATGAGCTCAACAAAACACCGAGCATCCCTCAGCGATCCCCCAGGAAAAGAAAACCCAACTTTGGGATCTCCCTTCCTCTCTGATCGTGACCTCCAGAACCACTCCAGCAGCATTTAAATAAGAGCATCTATTCAGCTAACAAAACTCCCACTTTTTTTTTTTTCCGATTTTTTTTTTTTTTCGCACTAAACAACATTCAAATAAAACATGGCACAGGACGTACTTTAAGAAA